CATTGTGTATATATACCACATTTTCTTGATCCATTCATCTACTGAGGGGCATCTGGGTTGGTTCCATATCTTAGCTATGGTAAATAATGCTGCAATAAAATAATTTTTATTGTGATTAAGTGATTACATATATTTCACAAATTCACAGTATTGTGAGATAGTGATACTTAAAGTCAGAAACACATTCTAATCTTCAAGAGGCAAATTGTCATTATAGTGGCCTATAAAGCTTGTGAATTCTATGAGCTTTGATAATACAGCTATTTCTTTCATATTGGGTGATATGTACATTTCTTTACTTTTGCTGCCCTTGAGTTGCTTCGTTTGTTTCATCATTATCCAGTGCAGCTGATGGGCCCCTCTGTTGTATGTTTTCCTGTTTCCCTCTGATTCTGTGTCCTCCTCCTAGTTTCCCTCAGATGTGCGCATATATGTATGTATGCAGATACATACATATATATATATATATATTACACCATACATATGGTCAACAGCATGAGGTCATTTAGTAATGATATGACAAGATGAGTGGAGGTCCTTTGTAAAATGGAGTCTTAAAAAACTGGTTTGAGGGGCTGGGAAGGTGGCTCAGTGGTAGAGCGCTTGCCTTGCATCCCTGAGGCCCTGGGTTCGATTCCTCAGCACCTCATAAGCAAAAAGAAAAAAGCCAGAAGTGGCGCTGTGGCTCAAGTGGTAGAGCGCTAGCCTTGAGCTGCAGAGCTGAGGGACAGCGCCCAGGCCCAGAGTTCAGGCCCCACGACCGGACCAAAAAAGGTGTGTTTTGTTCCCATGCAAAGGATGTTGGCCTCCAAGTTTGCCTTCTGAAAGTTGTTGGACCCTAGATTTCTGTCTAGCTTTCTTCTCTAGGAACATTGGTTTGTCCAGGCAAGATTCTTTTTTTTTTATTTTTTATTGTGAGAATACCGTATAGAAGAGTTACAATTACATGGGCAAGATAACGAGTACAGGCAAGATTCTTTACTTCTGCCTGGTTGTAGGAGTAGGAGGCAACTTGTTGTCCTAGTCCTTGTTGGCAGTTGTCAGTTTCCTTTTCCATCTCATGATATACTCCTGTTGCCTGGTTGGCCCATTGTTCTTGAGTCCAAAGCTGTATCTATATTCACAGAATGAGTGTCTATGTTTCTGTCCTATAAGGAGTCAGTGGTTATTGATGGGGTTAGTGCTGTGTACATTATGTGTGACTTTGACTTGTGATTAGCCTAGCAGTCTAGTCTTCTTTGTACTTGAAGCCTCTGAATCAGGAGTCCTAAGTAATACTAGGCAGATCACTTTGTCCCTGTGTAGTTTTCTCTGTTCCACTGTCAAAAATTATTGACACATTTTTCTCATTGTGGTCTTCTCAACTTACGTTTTCAAACTTGTGTCTGGTTACTGTCATTCTTTCACATTTTCATTGGAGTGTCCTGTTCTCTTTTTTTCTGTGATCTGTCCCTACACATAGAGGACTGCAAAAGCAAGCTGAAGGATTTGGACTTGAACTACATACATTCTTAGGTCCTAATTCTGGGGGGGGGGGGGGTTTTTCTTTTTGTGCCAGTTCTGGAGCTTGAATTCAGAGCTTTGCACTCTTGCCTGGCTTTTTTTTTTTTTTTTTGCTTAAAACTGGCATTCTAAAGTCAGGGAAGATGGCTCAGTAATGGAGTGCTTGCCTCCCATGCATGAGGTTCTGGGTTAGATTCCTCAGCACCACATAAACAGCAAAAGCTAGAAGTGGCACTGTGGCTCAAGTGGTAGAGTGCTAGCCTTGAGCTGAAGAGCTGAGGGACAGTGCTCAGGCCCAGAGTTCAAGTCCCATGATTCTACCCCCCCAAGGAAAAAAAAAAGACAAATGGCTTATAATTTTAATTTTATTCCCCCTCATCTTAGTGCTTTTTCAGCTTGAACTCTGAGCCTGGGAGCCATTCCTGAGGCCAGTTCTCTACCACATTGCTTCCAGATTTTTTTGTGGTTAATTGGAGATTGAGAGTCTCACAAACTTTCCTACCCGGACTGGCTTTAAACCACAGTCCTCAGATCTCAACTTCCTAAGTAGCTAGGATTATGCTGCCACCCTGCTTACAATGGTGGTTTTTGTTTTTTGAGGGCGGGGGGAGGGGTTGGCTGTGGGCTTGAACTCAAGGCCTGGGCTTTGTCCCTGAGCTCTTTTGCTCAAGGATAGTGCTCTTCCACTTTGAGCCAGAGTGCCTGGGTTTCTGGTGGTTATTAATTTGAGATAAGAGTTTCATGGATCTTTCCTGCCCAGGCTGGCATTTGAACCATGATCCCCAGATCTCAACCTCCTGAATAGCTCAGATTAGTGGTGTGAGCCACCAGCACCTGGCTAAAAGTACTTTTTTTTTTGCGGGGGGTGGAGGTTGGGGGGTGGGGGGTTGAGTATTGGGCTTTTACTTTGAGCCTTGGCGCTGTTCCTCAGCTCTTCAGCTCAAGGTGAGTGCTGTACCACTGGAGCCACAGTGCCACTTCCCGTTTTCTGGTGGTTTATTGGAGATAATCTTGCAAACTTTCTGGCCCGAGCTGACTTTGAACTGTGATTCTCAGATCTCAGCCTCCTGAGTAGCTAGGATTACAAGCATGAGTCGCCACCACCTGGCTGAGTATATTTTTTTGTTTGTTTTTTTATTGTGAAAATACCATCGGAGGGGTTACAATTACATGGGCAAGGTAATGAGTACATTTCTTATCAAGCATTGTTGCCTCCTCCTTTGTTTCCCCTTCCCATCCCTTCCCATCTCTCCCCCCCCCCCACAACCCTTCCCAAGAAAATATTTCTTATTGGACAGTGTTAGCTCTTCTATCACATCATTCTTTCCCAGTTTTTTCTTCCCATTCCCACCTATAAGTAGTATACTTCATTTTCAACATAATGTCTAGTGATACCACTGCTGCATTTGTTCACCTTTTGTTGGAATTAATATCTTTCAACTATAGAACTAGAATCCTAACTTTACATTTTTTTTAACCTACATACAAATTCATTCTTCTCCAATTCTTATTTGTCTCATGCTGAGGATATGGTACCAGTACTGGTACCGGCCTGACCTGGGTGTCAGAATCATATGTGCCTTGCTGCAGCATTTCCTTTTTTCTAGTTCCTCTTGGGGTACATCCATAGGCAATCAATAACTTGAGTGGGTAGAAGCATTAACCTAAATCAGGGAGATTTTTTTGTTTTTGTTTTCTAAAAACATTGTTAATAGCCATAGTTTGGCCATTCCCAAAATATGCTATGGAAAGACTCCCTGGATATTTCTGCAGCTCAGTTATGGGTCTTCAGAGTCAAAATTTGTCCTCTGATACTATCTTTACTCTCACTAATTGAAAGTGGAATTTCCAGAGGTCATGCATTCTGTAGGGTAACAAAAGCAGAAGCACATAAGAAAATTTCAGGAAGAAGCTTGACATTGGTGGCACATGCCCAAGATCTTAGCCACTCACAATCTAAAGATCATGGTTTAAAGCTAGCCGGCAGAAGAATTGAGCAAAATGCCAGAAGTAAAGGTGCAGCTCAAGTTGGTTGATTGCTGCTCTTGAGGGAAAAAGCTAAGCAAAAATTCAAGATCCTAAATTCAGTCCCAAATATGGGCATTCAAAAAAATTATTTTTTTTCTTCAGAAAAAGGGGAAAATAAATGAAGAGGATACATGAGGATGGATATGGCTAAAGCACTTTATTTGCACATATGAAAAGAAAACATGAAACCTGTTGGAATTGTTTTAGAAGGTGGGAAGGGGGGGTGGTTTAAGGGGAGAATGCATGTATGAATATATGGAAATATCAAAATGAACCAGCCTATGCAAGTAATGTATGCTGATAAAAACTTAAACTTAATTTCTTATGTATTATCGTGTAATAGGTTTGTTGCTGTTTTGAAATAAGTTCTTAATCTGTAGAGAAAAAATTGCAAGTGGTGGTACTAGAGATCAAATCAAGGATCTTACCCATGATAATCACATGCTGTGCTACTGGATTGTATAGAAATCTTTTCTTTCTGTCTGCACCAGGATGGCCGAGTGGTTAAGGCGTTGGACTTAAGAAATCTTCTCTCTGTTCTCCCTCCCTCCTTCCCTCCCTCCCTCCCTCCCTCCCTTCTTTCCTGCCTTATTTGTTGTTGTTTTTTTTTTTCTTGCTTTGTTTTTGAGGGACAGTGATCAGGGGCTTGAACTCTAGGCCTGGGTCCTATCCCTGGGCTCCTTTTGCTCCAGGCTAGCACTCTACTACTTATTTGAGCCAAGCACCACTTCTGGCTTTTTCTATGATTAATTGGAGGTAAGAGTCTCACAGACCTTCCTGTCTGGGCTGGTTTTTTTTTGGTCATGGGGCTTGAACTCAGCTTGGGCGTTGTCCTTGAGCTCTGCCACTTGAGCCACAGCAGCACTTCTGATTTTCTGGTGGTTTATTGGAGATAAGAGTCTCATGGCTTTGAACTGTGATCCTCAGATCTCAGCCTCCTGAGTAGCTAGGATTATAGGCATGAGCCACTGGTGCCAGGCTCTGGTGTTTTACAAGTGTTTTCATAGAAATGTTTTGAAGGGGTTTTAGAAAAGATTATTTTCCCTTATCAATATAACAAATACCAAATGCTATAATACTTGCACTTACATAAAGCATGTATTATCACCTACACACTTTTATGATGTTAAAATTATTAGCTGTAATTGAGCTTTTATGGTCAAGATGCACTTGTTTGTCAGCTTTTTAGTATTATTATACTTTACATGTGGGTTACCAGTTAGTCTGTAGTTAAATTCTGAAAATTCATGAATATTAATTTGATATTAATTTGTTTTTTTCTAGGTTGCAATAAAAATAATAGATAAAACTCAGTTGAATCCAACAAGTCTGCAAAAGGTAAGATTGGTCTAAAATTTGGTAAGATAAGAAATAAATTTCAGCCGGGCGCTGGTGGCTCACGCCTGTAATCCTAGCTACTCAGGAGGCTGAGATCTGAGGATCGCGGTTCAAAGCCAGCCCGGGCAGGAGAGACCGTGAGACTCCTATCTCCAATAAACCACCAGAAAACCGGAAGTGGCGCTGTAGCTCAAGTGGTAGAGCGCTCGCCTTGAGCTGAAGAGCTGAGGGACAGCGCCCAGGCCCAGAGTTCAAGTCCCACGACCGACAAAAAAAAAAAAAAAAGAAATAAATTTCAGTATTAATTGCTATTTAGTTGGTTCCTTAAATATCTTACCTATTATTCATTATGTTTAGTACAGTAAGCTTCCTATTTAATTGAAATTATCATACTGAGTGTACTGGTACAATGAAGTAACCTTGGAGTCTGAAATAACCTCGGAGTGGAGAAATCCACAGAGGCATGGTCAAAAGTGACAAAGGAGTCTTTATTATAGCCAGCCAGAGACTGACCTGTCCTGGGTTAAGGTGTCTCAGAGCGAAGAGCAGTAGCGACCTCCAATGGGGTGTTTCTAAAGGCAGTAACCACACATAGGTGGCAGTTTCACAAGCAAGCAGGCTGATTTACAGAAGCTCAAAAAAGATCATTAGGGGAGGGGATATTCTTCAGCTGCTGAACAATAAAGATGGTCAGGCAGACAGCATTCAGCTAATGCATCTGGGAGCTAGAGATTTGGGACTGGAGGTGGAGGTCAAGAAGAAATAGAAAATGGGGTTCTTTTTTTTGGGGGGGGGTCCGGTCATGGGGCCTGAACTCTGGGCCTGGGCACTATCCCTCAGCTCTTCAGCTCAAGGCTAGCATTCTACCACTTGAGCCACAGCACCACTTCCGGCTTTTTTTCTTTTTGCTTATGTGGTGCTGAGGAATCAAACCCAGGGCCTCAGGGATACAAGGCAAGTGCTCTACCACTGAGCCACCTTCCCAGCCCGAAAACGGGGTTCTTATGACTGTAGTCCCAGCCATTGGGAGGTAGAGATTAGTCAGTCTGAAATTCAGCATGGTTTCTGCCTCAGAACACAAAAAAGAATGAAGTTTAAATTGAGTGTTTTATAAAAATACTTAGATTCTTTGTACATCCCCTTTATCATAACAATAAAAAAACAAATAATTACATTGTCTTCACTTGAAGGTAATTATAAATTTAGATGTTCTTAGTAGCACAAACAGAACTTCAAACTGAACTTTTTTTTTGGGGGGGGGTCCAGTCGTGGGGCCTGAACTCTGGGCCTGTGCGCTGTTCCTCAGCTCTTCAGCTCAAGGCTAGTGCTCTGCCACTTGAGCCACAGCGCCACTTCCGGCTTTTTTCTTTTTGCTTATATGGTGCTGAGGAATCAAACCCAGGGCCTCATGCATGCAAGGCAAGCACTCTACCACTGAACCACCTTCCCAGCCCCAAACTGAACTATTTTTTTTGTTTTTTCTAGTAATTGGGCTTGAACTCAGGGCCTGGGTGCTTGTCTCTGAGCTTTTTTATTGGAGGCTAGCATTCTTCTACTTGATTTACAGCTCCACTTCAGAGGTTTTTGTGTGTGTGTGTGTGTGTCGTTTGTGGAGCTTGAACTCTGGGCCTGGAAGCTGTCCCTCATCTTTTCAGTTCAAGGCTAGCACTCTACCACTTGAGCCATAGCACCACTTCTGGTTTTCTTTGTTTTTTTTGGAGATAAGAGTCACATGGACTTTTCCTGCCCTGGCTGGCTTTGAACCGTGATCCTTAGATCTTAGCCTTTTGAGTAGCTAGGATTACAGGCAAGAGCCACTGGCGCCCAGCCTGACTTTTTTGGTAGTTAGAGATAAGAGTCACATAGGTTTTCCTCCCTGGGCAAGGTTTGAGCCATGATCCTTAGATCCCAGACTCCTAAGTAGCTAGGATGATAGGCGTAGTAACTAGTGAGTATTCTAAATGTTAGATCTGGAGGCATGTTTCAAGTGAAGCAACCAAATACTCCTCCCTATCTTTCTGGTAAAGACTTGTTCTGGGAAGCAGTGGTCATTCTGTTCATTTAACAATTAACTAGGCTGGGTGCTGATGGCTCAAGCCTATAATCCTAGCTACTTGGGAAGCTGAAATCTGAGGATCATGGTTCAAAGCCAGTCAGGGCAGGAAAAGTCCATGAGACTATTTATTATCTCCAGTTAATCACCAGAAAACTGGAAGTGTAGCTGTGGCTCAAAGTGGTAGAATATTAGCCTTTACTGAAAGAGTAAAGAACTCAGGAATGGCGCCCCAGCCTGAGTTCAAGCCCCATAACCAACAAAAATAAAAATGAGGGCGGGGCTGGGAAGGTGGCTCAGTGGTAGAGCGTTTGCCTTGCATGCTCAAGGCCCTGGGTTCGATTCCTCAGTACCACATAGGCAAAAAGAAAAAAGCCGGAAGTGGGCTCTGTGGCTCAAGTGGTAGAGCGCTAGCCTTGAGCTGAAGAGCTGAGGGACAGTGCCCAGGCCCAGAGTTCAGGCCCCACGACCGGACCCAAAAAAAATAAAATAAAATAAAATTGAGGGCTGGAAAGGTGGCTCAGTGGTAGAGTGGCTTGCCTTACATGCATGAGGCCCTGGGTTCGATTCCTCAGCACCACATAAACAAAAAAAAGCCAGAAGTGGCACTATGGCTCGAGTGGTAGAACGCTAGCCTTGCTTCCATGCTTCCACATGGAAATTTCAAATTAAAATAGCAGAAATTGTAACTTTGAGCCACAGCTCTACTTCCACCTTTTTGCTGGGTAATTGGAGATAATTGGTCTGAATTTGAACCTCAGTCTCAGCCTCCTGAGTAGCTAGGAGACATTACTATCATTGTCATCATCATCAAGCAAAATAGCCCATAAGGTTTATTTGTGTGTTTTTGCTGGTCCTGGGGCTTAAACTCTGGGCGCTCTCCCTGAAGTTTTGTGCACAAGGCTAGCACTCTACCATTTGAACCACAGTTCTGTTTTCATGTTTTTAGTGGTTAATTGGAGTCTCTCAGACTTTCCTGTCAGGCCTGGCTTTTTGAAGCATGAGCCTCTTCAGCCTCTTGAGTAGCTAGGGTTACAGGTATAAGCCATTGGTACCCAGCCACGGAATCTTTCATTTGACCTGCTTTGGGGCCAGCAGAACTCTGTAACAAGCTTCTGCCACCAGTTTCTAAGCAGTGTGATCATTGAATGCTAAGGAGGTAGCTCAAACCATACTACCTGAGTTAGTGCTTCCTTGCAGGGATTTATCAAATAATTATGTGCCTGTTGTAGGCCAGGTTTGGCTTTAGGCCCTGTAGATGATAGGTGAACAGTTACATAAAAACCTGTTAACATTGCTCAAAGGATATTTCATGGAAGAAATGAAAAGAATAATTTTAAAAGTCACTCCAATTCTCAGAACCTTCCTAAGGTTTGAAGGGTGAAGACACGCAAAAGCACTCATATCCTTGTTGGGGAGGTGTAGGAGCATGACTGGCATTGGCATCGGGAAGCCTGGCTGCCTTTGGAGGGATAAGCAGAGGCTGGTGCAGGCTTCCAGATCATGGCCAGGGCTTTGTTCTCAGTGCTCTGAGTAGTCTTAGCTGGATTGATAGAATGACCATCTTATATGCTTTCTGATTTAGCTGTTGTGGAAGCAGTTGGGAAATCCAAATGACAGTCTTAACTGTAGTGGATTGGAAAAAGGATTTCTGTATTAGCTGGACAGACTGAAGCCTGAACAGTTGTCAGGAATATTTGTCAGCAACACAAAAGGAATGTCAGAACGACCACAGTAGCAACAGGAGGTATTTATATTGGAGACAAAAGTACTCCTGCCTCTAAAAATGAGCCAATTTCTTTTGAGTATGTGCTAGTACTGGGGCTTGAATTCAAGCCCTGGTGCATTTTGTTTGACTTTTTCATTCAAGGCCAGTACCTACTACTTGAGCCATAGCTCCAATTCCAGCCTTTGAGTTGTTAGTTGAAACTAAGAGTTTCACAAGCTTTCCTACTCCAAGATCCTCAGATCTCAGCCTCCTGAGTAACTAGAATCACAGACATGAGTCACTGGTGCCTGACAGTCAGTGCTTTAGGTAAGAAAAGGTATTCATCAGATTATGTCTAAACCTGTCCATAGCCTTGGCTGCTGATGCAACTCTAGATTAGACCAGTGAAGTATGATAAGAATTCCATGCCATTTTTACCAATTTCTTTTCACAGAGCCAGCTGCTGTTCTGTTCCTCTTCCAAGGCTTCTCCAGGCCTTGTTTGTTGTGTTCTTTTTTTTTTTTTT